AGCTAGGCTGCTTTTAGCTTAGCAAGCTAGGCTGCTTTTAGCTTAGCTAGCAGTAATCAAACATATATTTACCTCTAGCTTGGGGTTGTGCACCCGTCTTCTCTTCCTCGAGTTCGTCTCTCCCGCACAGTTGTTCGACTGCAGAGCCGCCATCTTGTCCTCTATGGACAGCAACCTGGAGTGTACCGAATTGTCCAGTTGAGTGAGCCGCTCATTCATGTTGGCAGTATGTTGAGCAAGCTGACGAGACAGTCCACTGATAGCAATCAGCAGTTTCTTCTCGTCAGTCTGCGGACTGGCTGAAAGTTGTGGATCGCGTCCAAGAGGAGTTGAAGGCAAGTTGAACGGGAGACGTCGTGCAGCCATTGATCACGTACCAGCAAAATCCAAACACAGGAACTGGAGATGAAGTTCTTCTGAGTATAGTAACACAAACATGTCTGCTTATATGCTGGTCTCGCGAGTACTAGTAGTGCCCAAAAGCTCACACGTGATTGGACGAGGAGTCAAAGGCTCATCAGGCTCCTCCAATCACATACGAGGTCATTGTTACATAAACTATTTTGTGTATTTTTTTACATACACAACTTGGGGTAAAACTCCCCCTGCTACCCTAATTTGCATTTGTATAGCTCACAGCATTTTCATTTACATGTTAAAGCCTCCCCTAGAATTCCATGGGGGGGAGGCATGGGGGGAACAAGTTATTTTCCTTAGGTGTGAGTGTGTGTGTGAATGGTTGTTTGTCCTGTCTGTCTGTGTTGTCCTGAGATGAACTGGCGACCTGTCCAGGGTGTACCCCGCCTCTCGCCAGTAGAGAGCTGGAGATAGGCACCAGCATCCCTCGCAACCCCGCTTGGTATAAGCATGATGAAAAATGCTGTTTGAGATGTTTTCAGGTTGGTTTTTAAGTGAAGTGGGTGGATTTCAGGTTTACCAATCATATGTACCCTCTGCAGTGGGTTCTGGGTTGACCTGCACCCACTGACCTCTTTACACACGTCTTTTACACCCAATGTAATTCAAAGATGGATCCAAATGCTCCTCAACTGCTGTTCGACGTCACCAACAAGCTCTTCGATCTGCTAAATAGAACTGTCTTTTTTCAATCATTTAGATATTTTTTAATTATCCCCTCTTATTAAAATTAATTATAATTAATTATCCCCATCTAATTCTTGTTGCCTTTAGGCCAATGAAATGTCCAAAAAGATCAAGTGCCTTTGCTCTTCATGATGCTGTTTGCCAGAGGTGGATAGATTATATGGCACAAAGCTTAACACATCCTGTACATTTTGCAAATTTTACTCTTTCTTTTACAAAGGACTGTGTCTCTTTAAAAATATTTTTATTTCAACTTCTGTTAACTTCCAGGTAAACATATGCTGAGAAAGAAGTGTTGAGTTAATTCAATTTAGTTCAGTTTATTCATATAGTGCCAATTCACAACACATGTCATCTCAAGGCCCTTTACAGTTCACCAGATCATATAGTCAAATTGATACAAAGTTTTCTATCTAAGGAAAACCAGTTGATTGCATCGACTCATTGGCTCAAATGCAATCCCTTACACTAAGCATGCTTGTAGCAACAGTGGAGAGGAAAAACTCCCCTTTAACAGGAAGAAACCTCCAGCAGAACCAGGCTCAGTGTGAGCGGCCATCTGCCGAGGCCGACTGGGGTTCAAGGAGACAGAAGCAGAGACACAAAAAGCAGCTGTAAAAGGCGGCCCCATCCAGGAAACACACAGCCAGGCAGATGAGCTCCAAACCAGCTCCCATGTCAGAGGATGAAGAGAGCACATCCAGCCAGTCACAGTCAGAGAAACAGGAACACAATGGAAAACAGGATCTCCAGCATCTATAAACAAGGGTGTTGATGGCAGCAGCACAGCTGATATTTCTCTCCAGGATGGTGTCACAGCAAAACAGAAACAGATGAGGCGAAGCTACTATGAGAAAAAGCAGAGAGAGCAGAACTTTAGAGATTGAACTAACAGATTCTAGTTAGAGAGGAGAATCTGCTTTAATTGGTCAGCCACAGTCACCCTCTTCCTATGCGGGCTGAGAGTGGCTATGAAGTCCAGAGTATTTCCGTGACCCCTAGGGGCTCCATGGAGGTACGGCATGGGGGTCGCAAAAGTTTTAGTTGATTAAACTTTTATTTATATTCCCTTCTGCAATCTTTTCCACTAATTGAAATGTCTTTAAATCCACATTAACATTAATTCAACACACTGTAGTAAACAGATAAATGGAGGCAGAAGATGTATCTCAGTCATCAATGCACACATTCAGCGAAACACAGGAGCTGTTTCAAGCTGGGCACCGTTTCATCCACAACACCTATCCCATCAACGAGAAATATTTTAATAATCCCAGGGCAAAATGACTTACTTTACATGACTCCATCTGTAATAGAGTGACTATAGGACCAGTGTGATATAACACGATTTCATACAATATACATAATTAAGGGGCACATTTTGCCAGGCATTTAAACAGCCTCACTACTCAGTCAAGATGTGGGAGTTTGTAGGAGAGTTGCTGTCAGCTGGATAGAGTTTGGATATATTCTAAGAATAGATTGGTTGGAAAAACAACCAATCTAGTTGGTTAAAGCTATTTTGGTTAGATTAAATAATGTAATGATCAAAGTCTGAGTAAGCCACTGGACCCAGTTGTAACTTTAGTGTTAAGTAGAATTGCTCTCCATTAAACAACCTCACAGAGATTGACAAAAATAATTTTTTTATTACATGTGTTAGACACATGCAAACGTGTGCGAACCTTGGGCCTTGTTTGGATTCGCCAAAACAGGCTGAAGCTCCTTTCTTACCTTGGATAGAGTTCTTACTGTTGACTCCACAAAAGATCACAGGATAGAAGCTAGGAACCATTATTTGAGGACTTAGGATTTAGCCAGTGAAGCGCAATGCAGATCACATCACTTTCACTACTAAATCTAGTGCAGTCATAGATGGTCTAAATTACTTCTGGATATAACAGTTTAAAACTATACTCGGTTAAAGAAGAAAAAAAAATGGATTCCATGTTTGGTAGAAAATTATTTTGTTCATTTTAATTGAAGGAACTTACAAAACATCCCAGAAAAAATACAAACAAACACAAAGAGAATGACTCAAACACATCATATTCACACTTCAGATAGCTAAAAAACATAGCCTGTCATAAACTGCATCATTAACAAAATATATTTTCAAATGAATGATGAATGATACAAGTCAACCAATAGGCTGATCTTTGAAATCAAATATATTGCCATATGTATTGAGATGCTCAGCTCTATACAAACATGAACTTTAATGACATTTCATTCATAATGCAAATACTTTTCATGGGGTCCTACTCATCTTTAACAACTTCAATTCCTCTAGGAATTACTTAGTGCACAAGGAAAGTAACATCGTAAGAAGGAGGAGTTGGGACCGGTTCCCACATATTCAGGAACTTGAAATTGTCCAATGTCACTGTAAGCTGATTCATCAAAACCAGCATGCTTTCTTGAAAACAACTTTTAAATCAGCATGAGCAAGCAATCTAGGCTATTTTATACTTTCTGCTTTTAATTTTTGGTAGTAGTTGTAATAATCTCATTATTCTGTTTTGAATAAGTGTAACTAGAGCATGTCTGAGATTATTGTTGGAAAAATAAGTCAGTTTAACTCTGATATTGTTTTAGAATATTCTATTATCTCCTAGTTTACCAGCCTATGCCCATATGTGGGCATTACAATTGCTGGAACGCAAGAAATTATTTGTAAGGGGTTCTAAAGACTGGGAATTAAAGCACATGCACAATTTCTGTAATGTATTTATGGCCACAAGGTGGCAGCACTGAGTTGATAATAAAATGGGTTGAAATGAAAGAAAACTTGACTGGAGCATTTTATGTTTGCTCTGTTAATGTGACCCAAAGCTCTTTGGTCGGATCATCATCCTCACAGACTTAAAAGACTGTCTCTCATTGGTTGGGTAGTACTCTGACGATATATTGTGCCATGTCCCCCAGAAAATACCATCCCGAACCCCCTTATATCTCCCAGCAGTATAATATCTGCCATTCAGGTTTGCAGCCATGCAGGCATCAAACCACCAGCCGGAGCTGTAGTAGGCCCCGCAGTTCCCAGAGGGGTACCGGTCGTTGTCCCTGTCAGGAGTGGTGAACGCCCTGTTGTTGTGGTCGTAGGTTTTACTGAAGCGCAGAGCATCACCTGCGGTACCTGAGTACCCGCCCACCGTCAGCCTGTAGCGCAGCCGCTCACTGGCAACCCGGAAATACTCGTACTGCGCATGCCCAGTCACTCCTTGGAAATCTTCCAGCTCCACCCGCAGTTCCATGTCCCTGTCCCGCGTCAGTGGGTGTATCTTGTTGTTCCCCAGCCAGAAGTCCCCTCCGTCCAGCACCCCGAAGCCGGCCCGGTACTCCACCCAGGTGCGGTTGAAACTCACCCTGCCGTCCTGGCGACGCTGCAGGAGGGTCCATCCTCCACCATCCAGCTCCATATCACAGTACACCTGAGCAGGAGGGTCCATCCTCCACCATCCAGCTCCATATCACAGTACACCTGAAAGCTGCTGCTGCGGAGGTCAGGGGTCACCATGTAAACACCGCTCCTGCTCCTTCCTCTAAGCATGTGGTCGGAGCAGTCTCTTATTGCTGTGGGAACCAAATTTCAGAAGATATTTACATTTAGCTGATTAAATAAAACCAGAGGTGTCAAGTAACAAAGTACAAATACTTTGTTCATATACTCAAGTACACTTTTTAGGTATCTATACTTTACTCCATTGCTTATTTTTCTTCCTACTTCTGACTTCTACTCATTACTTTTTCACACAAGTATCTGTACTTTTTATTCCTTACATTTTCAAATCAGCCATCCAATACAGATCATTAGCGCCATCCACATCTTGTGAAAACTAGTGTAATTGGATGAGTCATATAACGCAAACACTCATTGGTTAGCTAAAGGAAATCATCAGAAGCAAGCTTTTGTTCTTCAAACTGTAAACGTGAATTGTCTATGCCATGCTACAATGTTGGATTCAGAGAAGATGTTGAAATGTCTGAAAGGTCGGACACAGGCGAGAGCGAATTGGGAGATGCAGACCAACAAGACCTCCCTCATGACCCTATCTCAAAGAATTATTCGAAATAGTCGAAAAATTTAGCTTTCAGTTTATATATTGGCATCTGGCTGCTTTTTTAAAAGGTTACTTTGTACTTTTATACTTTAAGTAGATTTTGGAGCACATACTTTTTCACTTTTACTTGAGTAAAGAGGTCAAGTTGATACTTCAACTTTTACCAGAGTGTTTTTAAACTGCAGTATCTATACTTCTATTTAAGTAACAAATGTGTACTTTTGACACCACTGAATAAAACACAAAGCTCTGCGGAAGTATTTGCATAATAGACACAAAGACTTTGTCACATACAACAACGAAGCATTTAGCCTCTATTATAAACTAAGATAAATAAATAATACTAAAAGTATGCTGGTGTTTCTTTATTTCTTATTTATTCGTGATTTAGGCAAGTTTGGACCTCCAAAGGCAGCAGGATTCTCTTCATGAAGGTTTTGATGACTGTTCTGTCAAAAGACACTCTCCAGACTGTGCTTCTAACTTTTAGAACTCCTCTGACAGAATACAAAACATTTATTTGTGCACCATTGTTGTATTACGTATTATAAATGATGAATGTTCCAGTGCCTCCTTGGAGCCCACAGCATCACCAGGGACCCCTACCACCCCAGCCATCACCTCTTCAAACTCCTGCCTTCAGGGAGGTGTTTAAGGGCAATGAAGTTTTGAATAAACTGACCAAAAAAACTGTTTCTACCCAAGACCTGATAATTATTTATGTATTTATTGGTTTGTTTATTTAACATAGAATCCAAATAGTTTATGGGTAATGCACTTATTATAAGCGTATTTTATATATATATATATATATATATATATATATATATATATATATATATATATATATATATATATATATATTTATTTACACTGCTCTTGAGAGTTGTTTTTGTTTTTTTTTCATTTTGCTTTTTTTAAATTCACATTAAAGGAAATTCTGGTGTTAATAAAACAAAAATTATGTTTGTAATTCCTGGCATATTTTTTAGATTAACAAATGCTTATACCAGCAATTAACCTTTATACTGTATGTATAATTTGTTGACATAGTAACTATGTTGAGCCACATATTTAACTCTATTGAAATTGGCAGTCACAATAAAAGTATTGCATTTTCATCCAGTTTCTTAAAGACTTTCAAGAAAACGTACCAAAAAGGACACTTTCTGCTTTCAAAGACAAACCTATAGAAACTGTTTCATTGTTTTCTAATCCTTTTCTTCTTTTTTTTTCCTTTTTCTTTTCTTTTTTTTTTTTTTTTTTTTTTTGCTAAGTGGATTGTTCTGTCCTTGTTTTTATTTTAGTATTTATTTTTGGTATTCGCCTTTTTATTATTTTATTGTCCATGTTTTTCTATATTTCTCAAATTCCATCTAGATAAATTCCAGAAAGATGCAACACGTTGTTATAACATATACCTTAACATACAATTATAGATTATTAACTATGCATTACCTACTACTTAACTAACTAACCACCTAAATAAATAAATGAATAATTAATTGTTTCAGTTAATTTATTGGTAGGAACTTGTTTAAAACCACATTTTTTATAATATTATTTTACTTTTTGAAATTATGTTTTCTCTGTTTTGTCACGTTTGATCCTCTTTAGGCTTACAGTACAAGATTTATTAAAATCTTTGAAGACTTTGGAGAACCCCCTTGTAAAATCTTTTGTAATTGCAGAAAGTTGTAGGATTAATACATTTCCAAAATAGAACATTTACCAAAATATTATTTTGTACAAAAATATTGGTTGTTCTTTGGGTAATTAAGACAAAAGCTAATTATGATTTAGTTTAAACTTTATTTGTTTAACTCCCCCTTTAGCTTTATATTGAGGATGTAAAAGCATATTGAAAATGTATATATATACAGCAATTTGAGCTCCATTAGTGAATTAAAGCTAATCATTAACACAGAGGATTGCATCAGCATGGCTTACCCCAGCTTCCTGAAGGCTGTTTTAAAGCTGTTGGTCCTTGCATTATTGTGGTTTTAATATCACTGTGACAGTCATGCCAAGCTACATATTGTGCACAGACATGCAGATTCCTCCTTATGATTTATAGCACTAATATAATCTCATTTGACCACACATAGCCTATATTCTGATTATTTATGTAAAGATCATAAGAATATGATGTGTGGTCATTATACTCCAATCCTTTTATCTGGGTTTTGTTTTTGGAAACAAACTTTGATGTATACAGAAGACTGATACCCTGTTTTTACAATTGAGTTGCTCAAGAGTTCCTTTTTATTTCGGTTTAATGAGTCTTTCTTAGATAAAAGCGTCCCTTTCAGTTCGCTTCCATAAAAACAGATAAACATTAGTGGCTACATTTCAAGAGGCTTCTTCGTGATAATTATTGTAAAGCATGCAGAAATGATAAAAGCGATTTCTAACCTTTAAATGCTGTGGATGTTGACAATTTACCATCAGTCCTTTTAGTCCCCCTGTCTCCATCAGATCCCTCAGGCCGCTCCTTGGGAAGCCCTTCTTGTCCTACTTTAGGAATTAGGCTGTTGTTGACAAATGCAGCCACCTGGTTGATTTTCACACGTAGCTCTCGTGGACTGGGACTCGAAGGCTCTGCAGGTGGAAGCTGAGGGTCAGAGGTGGAGGTGGTTGCGGAGTAGTCGGGGCTGTTTGTGGGGGTAGTTTCCAAAATGGGGGAAGGAACTGGGTTTGCGGGAGGACTTTCCTCCTCATGAAGTGTCTTAGGCTTAGACTTGGGAGCTATGCTAGGCTGTATAGCTTCTGGGCCCAGACTAGTGATAACATTTGGGAGGATCCCATGGTTGATTTTGTTTGGTCTTGTTGTCATTGGGACAGATGATTGTGCTCCGGCTGTTTGTGGCCTCAGATCAGACGTAATCCTTGTGTTTTGGCTCAATATGACGTCTTTGGGGTGTGTGCGAGGGGCAGGGGAGTATCCAGTTTCCAAGCTGTTAGAGGGCTTTGGACTCAGAGTTATGGTGCTTTTCACACTGGTGCTGAACTCTGTTTCCCCCGGGGTATGACTCATTTCAGGAATCTGTTTTACGAGGTTAGATGTAGGTGGCATGTCAGTACGAGAGCGTAGGGTATTGTCTGAAGGAGCCCAGCTGATCCGAGGTGGATCTGTTTTGGTTTGTGGACTTGGCTGCAGTCTCCCTGCTTGTTTTGACCGTTGGATAGGTTTAACCCCTGGTCTGACAGAGGTTCTCATTGAAGGCATGTGTCGAAAAGGAGGCTGTAGTTTAGATGTTTTATTGTACTCTGTTTTAAGAACTCGCTCACCTGCAGATATTTGTTTTAGATAAGGCCTGGATGTTTGCAGTCTTTGATCGGTTTGTTGTACTTTGTTATTTTTCTGGTTTAGGTTTGGCTCTTGACCAGGTTGTGGAGTATTACTAAAGTTAGGAGCATTGTGGCTAGGTTCCAACCTATGATCCAGTTGTTTTTTATCTTGAATAGGTGCAGATGTTGTATCTGTATTGCTTTTACCCTCTTGTTCTTTTTCCTTTGACTCAGATAAAGGGTTTTGGTTGGTTTCTGGCATTGCTGTTTCAATTTCACTAGACTTAGAGTTATTGCGATTAGCTTTATGATGGTAATGGGTGGATTCATTTTTCTGATTTGTTGTTACAATATCTAGACTTGGTAAGGATGTTTCTCCTGGTGTTAAACCTGGTTTGGGCATTTGTTCCTGAATGGATGCTTCTTCAGAATTCTCCCGTTGCTCAGCCAATAGTTTTAGCGTTCCTGTTTTACTTTTGTTGAATTTAGACTCATGAGAAACTGCAGTTTCAATTTGACTGTTGATTGATTTCTTCATCTGATTAGTGGCTGCAGTAGCGAAGTCCGATGTGAATGTATGTCCAGATGTTAAACCTGGATTAAGCGTAGGCCCCTGCAAAGATGTTTCTTCAGGCTTGTCCAATGACTCCGTTGACGTTTTATAAGGTGTTTTTTCAATTTGGGTGACTTTAAACTCTCTAGAAGTTGGTGTTTTAATGTATTCACTTTTATTCTTTTGTATTTGATCCGAATTTGTTGTTGCCTGATCTGATGTAGATGTTTTCTCATGTGATGAAACTAAATACAGTTCGGTCTCCTTCAAAGAATTATCTTCAGACTTGTCCGCTGATTCAGGTAAATGTTTTTTTGGGGGTTCTAGTGTTGCTGTTATATTCTTGTTGGACATAAAATTGAGTTTATTTTCTGAAATGTGTTTAGTGTTTAGGTGGTCCTGATCAGATTTATTCAGTTGATAAGTTGTAGCAGTTGTTCGTCCAGGTAATAAATGTTGGTTAGATGTGGGTTCCTGAAGGACTCGTTCTTCAAACCTGCCCCATGACTCATTTGAAGGCTTTTGTGTTTCTGTTTGACTTTTGTTTAAGTTGGAATCTCGAGAAGTTTGTTTGTGATGTGTATTCATCTGATCAAGGGTAGTAGTTGTCTGATTCAGTGCCAGTGTTGATCCAGGTTTTAAGTCTGCATACAGTGTAGTTTCCTGCAGATCTTCAGACTGCTTTGCTGATTCTGGCAAAGGTTTCTGTGTTGATTTTAGTGTCGCTGTTTCAGTTTTGTTAGGCTTAAACTCTTGGATATTTTTTGGCCTGTGTTTATCTTTAAGATTATCCTCATTGGATTTTCTCTTCTGATCAGGATTTTTTGTTGCTTGATCTAAACCAGATGTCTGTCCAGGTGTTAGATGTGGATTTGATTTAACCTTCTGCAAGGAATTTTTATCAGATGTGTCTGCTATCTCAGGATTAAAGTCGTTAGCTTCAGGTTTGAGTTTAGGCCGGTGGTCTTCCTGGCTAGTTTTATTCTCATAATCTAGTGTTGCATTAGCTCTATCAGATATAATTTTCTGTGTTAAACTGGGATGATTTTTAGAATTCCTCCTGGGGTTTACTTCAGGCTTATTTTCCAAATGGACGGAATGTTTTCGGTTTTGTTTTGGTAAATCTGTTAGTTTGCTTTTTGAGGATTTAGGGCTGAAAGGTTTAGGTTTATGTTTAGTTTTTGTAATTGGCTGACTGGAATTGTTCTTCAGGTGATGGGTCTCAGCAGCTTCATCTGTTGCAACCGACCTTTGAGGTGTTATATCTAACTCTGATTTAGGACTATGTGAGTGATTTCCACCTGGTGTGATCACCGGCTCAATTAATATAGCTTGTTTTGTTTTTTCTTTAGATGTTTGTCTTTTGTTAGATACAGGAAAAGTTTCAGTTGTTGATTCTGGTTTGGTTTTAAGGCGAGTTACACTTGCATGATCCGGTTCAGATGTCTTTCCAGGTTTTAATTCTGGGTTAGATTTGGTGTTCTGGGAGGAACTTTCTTCAGACTTGTCCACTGACTCAATTAATTGGGTTGCTGTGTCTATTTTAAAATTTTGGGAAGGTTCAAGTTTTTCCTGGCTGAAATCATTCATATTACCAAGAGCTGTATGAGATTGATGGGTGGTTGTGTTTTGTCCAGATGTTGAATCTGGACTTTTTTTCAGTTCTTGTGCAATATGTTCTTCATTCTTACCAATTGAATTGTTTAAAGTTTTTTGGTTTGGATTTGGTGTTGTTTCAAATTCTGTGATGCCTTCAGGTCTGGGATCAATTGTTGGGATCTTTGTAATGGATTTATTCATCAGATGATTGGTAGTAGTAGTTGGATTTGGCACATAATTATGATTTTGGATAGATTCAAAACCGTTGTTGATTTTTTCGTCACTATCCAGCTTTTTAACTGACTCTTGGTCTGATGTTTTGTTAATGAATAGTTGAATTGATTCTTTTTCGGCCTTTAAATTTTGATCAGTCTTTGAAGTTTTATGAAAATTGCTGTTGATTAATGTATATTTACCTGAATGTGTTGAATTTACAGTTTGAGGTCTTTGGGCTGCAGTTGTCTTGACAGAGGTTGAGGAATTCTGCTTTGATTTTACATTAGTAACTTCATATTCCTGCTCATACATCATATGTTGTTTTTTATTTCCCTCAGCTTTTGAAATCTGAGGTGTGTTTCTTTGACCAGGTTTTTTACTTTGTGTTTGTTTTGAGTCTTTTCCAGGTTTGGATTTTGTATCTTTGGGTTTGTGAGGCTTCTGCTTTGGGTTAGGGTTAGTTTTTCCTCTGGTTGAAGGACCTTGGTTTTGTTTAGAGTCATTCTTGGCATTCTTTAGTCTGTTCCCTGCTTCAGGTTTAATTCCAGATTTATGCATTTCACTGGGATTTGTTGCTCTGACTGGTGACACTTTCAGACCAGTCTTGGTTTTTGAGCTGACGTTCCTTTTCGGTTCTCCATCAAAGCGATCTGTAATTTTGGGTGAGGTTGTTATGAATAAGATCTGATAAGAATGTGGCGTTTTCATGGTTAAACCTGCCACATCATTGGTTATCTGCTGCTTCTGGCCACCCACTGTGGATATTGTTGCTGTTGTTGTGGGTAACCTTACCTTAACTTGGCGGCTGGCCTCTGAAACACCAGCCGCTTGGGGCTCCTTGCTTCCCCTTAGACCATAACCATCTTTTGGATTTCGAATGACATCTGTCATCACATCTGTGATGGAGCTTAAAGTGGGGCTGATCAGAGAAGGTGATGGAACAAATGATGTAAAGCTTTTAGTGTCGCTCGGGTCCGGCACTGAAGTTAATCCTGTTGTAAGCGGAGTAGGGCTGATCGAAAAAAGGTCTGTCTTTTCAGTTGTCTTAATAGACGGTGTATCTTTAATGCCGTCTCTCTGCACGCTCTCTCTTTTATTCTCTTTGCCTTTTTCTGTGAGCCCAGTCCTCTCCATCTGCTTTGGTTTCTTTTTATTTGGGTCCACTTTTATATCCTTTTCCATTTCCCTCTGCAGCTTCTTATTTGTATTCACCGTGTGGTTCTTAGACATCTTTATTTTATCAAAGGCTTCAGCTTTGGTATTTTCATCCAGCTTCTTCATCTTATCTTCCCACATGAGAGGGTCACTTTCTTCTGTTGTTTTTTCTCTTTTTTTCTCAAATATATCTTGATATTTCGTCACACTTTCTTCTGGATTTGTCTCAACAACCTTTTCTTCTGTCACATTAACAGTTTGCAAGTTTCCACCAGAAGTTGGTGTCTTTAATCCCTCTAATGTGTCCTCTTCTCTTGCACCCTCTGCCACAGGTTTTTGTCTTTCATTTTCTTTTGCAGATTCTCCTATTTCCCATTTGTTTCTGTCTTTCAGATTTGTTCCCATGTTGTTATCTGCCTCCATCATTTCCACATTACCACTATCTTTTCCACACTCATGTTTAAAATCTCCGTCATTCTCTTCAAGCGTCTTGTCCTCATGCATGTTCTTACCTCCTTTCAGCTCTCTTTCACTTTGCTTCCCACAGTTTCTCCCAGCTCGACCCCCTGTACAGTCTGCACACATCTCCCTAAGTTCATCGACACTGTCCTTTAGGTTCTGGAGGTCCTGCATGATGTTCTCCAGCCCCAAAAAATGTAGAGGCAAATGAACATCAAGAGGAGGCAAACTGATGTGGTAAGGGCATGTGCTGTCGTGCTCCCCAGGTTTGCACGCTCCTACCGGTCTGAAAGTCGCAAGGCAGGGTCCAAATCCTCTGTCTTCCAGGGGAATCCCTTCCTCCGCTCTGGTTCGAGAGAGACTTAAAAAGGCCACGAGGGTCCCACACACACAGAGTACTGTTAATCTCATTGTGTCTTGTGAAGAAAGAGTGAAGATAGGGCAGGGAAAGGGTGTAAAAAAAAAAAAAAACACCCAACTCTGTTTGTGAAGCAGAGTGACAGTAAGAGGAGGGGGTGAGAGAGGGAGTAGAGGAGAGAGAGGCTGATGGCGCTGAGGAGAATCAGTAAGACACAGAAACAGGTGGGGCATGTAGGTCTCAACAGATTGGGTCTGGGAGATAGTGGATGATGCCTTGCTATGAAAAACTATTTGGCCCATAAAAATAGTTAGATGTTTTGCTTTTTTTCCTATTCCCTTTTTATTAAAATGAAAGTAATTACCCTTTAAACCTGTTTTTTTCACCACTGTGGAAATATTTCATCCAAATCTTCGTGGCAGAATTATTTTAATTTAACCACATGTGGCTTTTGAGCTTTATTTACAGAAATGAGACAAATTGTCATCAAAAAATGGTAAATTATTTGTTTGACAATTTAAAAGCATTTTATAAATATTTGTTGTTTCCGGTGGACTCTGTTGTGTTAAACTATTTAGATAGATTCCAAAAATGAAAATTAAAACAATCCACTCGACTCTGTTTCCAAGTTTGAAGACGTTATGCTTCCCATCCAGGAAGCTTTTAAAGTTTAAAAATTGAAATTTTTGAATTGAAAAAGCTTCCTGGATGGGAAGCTAAACGTCTTCAAACTTAGAAACTTAGAGTCCAGTGGATGGTTTAATTTTATTTTTTTTGGAATGACTATGACCTTGATGACTGAGAACCTTCACACGCATAGTTAGATAGATGCTAAATTATTTGAGTCTTGCTAGTCTCAGGACTAGATGGCTCAAAGGTGAGCCAGATTGCTCCGTAGAGCTGAGCGCTTGGGTGGGAATTCTCTTAGGATCCTTCTCCAGGCTTGAGCATAAATAAGTATAAGAGAGCACACATGCAGGTGTTCAGCGGAGGAGCTGCATAAAAAGAGAGTGGAAACAAGCAACCATGAAACGGTCATTCAGCTAAAGATCAAAAAACACCTTAAAATAAGATTTAACTCATTGGTTTGATGAAACAAACTCTGAACTTTTTAATTTTGACTGCTCCATGATGGATTCGCTGATGTGCATTGAATGATTGTCCTGCTGCAAAACCCAAACTGGATTGAGCAAAAGGTTTTAAGCTGATTCCTGGACACTCTTTCAGAACTGTTAATACCATCAGTTATGGCAAGTTGTCCTTGAGCAGACTATTCTTATGTTTACCTCTTAAAATGCGATGTCAATTTGATAGGTATGCTTTTGTCCTCTTTGATAAGGGGTTGATGCACTGCTGGATTCATTTTGGTAGTTTAGCAATCATGGATATTCCCTCATGTTCCATGTGGTCTTTGTCTGTGGAGAACATGGAACAATGTGGAGAGATGTACCTTACTGAAGTTCAGAACTCTTAGCAATGGTTTTGTACCCGATATTCCATGTTCTCAATGAGGGAATTTAATAAGTATTTCTTGAATCTATAAGTATAGAATTAGGTTTGTCCAAAAATGTGGTTATTGATAGTTAATCCATGATATATAAGGGGGTGAACATAATTTTTCACATGAAATGAAGTGTTTTTTCATAGCATTTCTCCCTTGACACTAACTACTTTTAGATATTGTTTTTTTTTTTATTAAGATTTGTTCAAACATCTGAACTATATAGGTGGGACAAAGAAAAGAAAACAGGAAAGTCATATTTACGCAATTAGATTTCATAGTATTCTATTAAATATTGATGTTTTTTTTCTCTTTTATGGTACAGACAGAATTATAAAAACAGTTTTAGGGAACACATTTGCCATTGTAATTGTATTATTACAGTGCAATTTATCTTCTTTCTAGTCACGTCACCTAATCAAGTCCAGTTGTCACACATTCTCCTTCCATGCTGTAAGGATAAATGTGATAATACATGTGTGCCACAGTTGTTCTGAAAGATGCTTTGAATGTTTCCTGTCAGAGAGACCACAAACATGTGAGTGACAGATGTCACAAGTCAAAATATGTTTTTGAAGCAGCAAGCAGAGCCAGAGCAGAGAAGTTGTTATTCAGATTTGTGAAATTGTAATTGATTTTACTGTAAACTGTATGGTGTCTTTGGGCTCTTGGGTATTGAAAGCCAGGAATGTCAGATTTATCCAAGAAAACCACAAGATCCAAGCACAGTGCCAGGGAAGACAAACGCCTCATGTACTAGGGATTTTATTTGGACACAAATAATCTTAAACAAGTGTCTTGTGTCACTGAAGCAAGTTCTGGGTGGCGAAGCGAATCTTATTGCATGCTGCCTCTACTGTACTGCTTTAACCTTTCAGATTTTAAGCCATTATAACCACATATTTTAATAAATATCATTCACTTTTTGTAAAAGACCAGAACAAAGAGTTGGGATGTTTTTAAAAGCTGATCAGAGTGCTATGCAGATGTATTCAGGCGACACTTGGTAGAAACACCTGTAACTAATTACATCTGCAAGTCTGATCAAGAGATTGAAATTGAAGTCCAACCCAAGATTGTTCAGATTGGATAAAGTTCATCTGTTTTACTTTTAACAGATTAGATTAAATTTACACTTTGGTTTTGACTAGGTAATTCTAACACTCAGATTCCATTTAATGTAAACACCTACTCTTCCATTTTCAGAAAAGATTCACAAAGAACAGAGATTAAAATAGAATAGAATAGAATAGAAAATCCCTTTATTATTGGGAAAATTGTGGTGTTACATCAGCAGCAAGTGATTATAGCATAAGAGGTCAAACAATGTGGACCTAAAAAGGTTTATGCAAATAAAATAATATGTGACAGAGTTAAGAAAATAGGAAATAAAAAATACTGTACTGTACAGTGTTTTTATGATACAAATATTGTGCATCTAGAAAATAATTAATATACAGCTGTGGACATCTTTACATTATGGATATGTGGAAAAAATTGCAGCAGCACCAGAGATGTGCAAAAAATTACAGCAGCATGTTATTCTACAGGTTTAGACAGACATTTGCCGAAATCAGCATGGATGTTACAACTTATTGAGGTTGTTGGGAATAATGTTTGTTATAAATTCTTACAGCTGCTGGGAGGACAGATTTGTGATAACGCTCCCTGGTGCATTTAGGGTGCAGCAGTCTGTCACTGAAGGAGCTTTCCAGTTCAGCAACAGCTTTATGCATGGGGTGGGAGACATTATCCAACAGAGATGTTATTTTAGTTAGGGTCCTTTTTGTTTCCCACCTCCTGCACTGAGTCCAGATGGCATCCAATTACAGTAATTACAATCACATTAATGCAAAAAAAAATATGCAAGGCAAGTTTATTTGTATAGCACAGTTATGTATATGGACAATTCAAAGTGCTTTATAATCAAATAGAAGAAAAATAAAGCAGAATAAAAGCAAATAAAGATAAAAAAAAATTGGTAAAACAAAACAGCTGTACTTCAAACTCAAACTAATAACCTCAGTTAACAGTACGACTTCAACAGTCAAAGGTAGTTCTAAACAAATGGGTTTTTAACTTTGAATTAAAAGAACTAAGGCTTTCAGCACTTTTACAGTCTTCTGGGAGTTTGTTCCAGATAAGCAGAGCATAGCAACTAAATGCTGCTTCTCCATGCTTGGTTCTAGTTCTAGGTGTAAAGAGTAGGCTTGGTTTTGGAGCTTGATAGACTGAAAACAGATCTGTTATATATTGAGGTAATGATCTATTTTTATATTATCTATATTTCTGTTAGGATTCCAGTTTGTGTTGGTTTTTTTTTGTGTTTTCCTCTCTCCACCACCAGGCCCTGTCCTCGTTGGGCCTCCCTGCACACCTGGCTGTCACCACCTCGACGCCAGAGTGTTTGCCAGTATTGGGTACTCTAGCCAAACTGAGATTAGCAAAGTCTAACCTTAGCATTGTTTCTCTGAGTCTGAACTTGTTTTTTGTCTTTGTTCTTTTACAGGAAGACTTCCTGTGTTACTGGATAAGCCTTGGCCCTTCTACCCCTGGAAGGATTTACTGAGTCACATTGAGCAAGGGGAAAATCACCATATGATCCGTTCAAGTCCACTCCTGGAAAACCAAGGGACAGTCCGCTCCTTTACTCCTCTGGGTCCAACGTATGTCTGCCTGTCCGCTCTCCAACGAGTTCCCTCTTCTCTGGATTAAACCCCCACAAACTGGATACAAGGATAAACCAAGAGCCCCCCAAAAGTGAGTTCCTCTCCAGCAATATTCAATCCTCAGTCCTTTTTCCCACTGTCCCAGAACTGATCACTGTGATCTCCCTTTCAGAGTTTCCGGTTCACCAGTCCGCTGAGTTCCTGCATTGTTTCCCCACAGAGTTTCAATCTCCATCAGTGTCTGCTAACCTGCAATAAACCTGTTAAACTTTTACCTTTTTACCCCATTTTTAAAGCCCATTATGACAATTTCTGTTATTTATAGACAAACTGAAGATTTGATCCTATTATTTGAGCTACAGGGAACTAGTGTAAGGAGTTCAGAACAGGTCTAATGTGCTCTACTTTTTTAAATCTATTGAAAACACTGGCAGCAGAGTTTTGGATCAGCTGCAGCTGTCTGATTGGCTTTTTAGGCAAACAGAGTTAACTCACAGCTTCAGCTACTATAGATAGAAACCACTAATTATGCCTGAAATCTTGGTGTTATGACAGACTCAGACCTGAACCGTCAGAGGCACATAAAGGCAGTTAATGAGTCAGCCTTTTATCACCTGGAGAACATTTTCAGGATTGAAGGACTAACGTCCAAGCAAAATCTAGAAAAACTCATCTTTAGTAGAACTGATTGCACCAGTGTCTTCACAGGGATCTCGCCTCCGTGGGTCCAAAAATAATTACCTCTGTTTTGTTTTTATTCAGTTGGTGAAAATTACGGTGCATCCATGTATTAATTTGTGATATGCATCAAGCCAGTGCTCTGATGGGTTCATAGTCACCTGGTGACACTGTGATGTAATGCTGTG